CCAGTCTGGGCGACAGAGTGAGACTCCAACTCAAAAAAATAAAAAATAAAAATAAAAAAGACATAGAGCTGGGGTTAGAGGAGGTGGGTGAGTTGCTCTTAGTTCTGGGGCTCTTGTGGGGTGGGGAAGAAAGGGTGGTAAGATGTCTTCTGCCTGTCCAGGGAGGACGTGGGAGCCCAAGACAGGGGGATGGAGCGGGAAGGAATTGGTAGCGGGAGATGGACAGCTCCAAGGCCTTGCTGACCGCAGCTGTTTCCTCCTCCCCATCCCCTCGCCTCTCTCATCTCCTAGTGATCTTGCACATCAGACAGAAGAGGGGCTCCAGGGTCAGAAAGCCCGGCGTCCGGTCCTGACCTTTCCTCTCAGTGTCTTATGACCTAGGCGAGGCCCATCATCTCTCTGGACCTCAGTTTCCCCCTCTGCAAAATGGACATCCTCTGCTATCCTTTCCGTCTTCGTGAGGTTAGGAAAGCAAATGAGAGCATGCCAGAGAAAGCGCCTTGTAAATCTCAAAACTCTCTGCAAACAGAAGGCAGCGTGGTTAAACAATTAGGTAACCTCCTGACCCAGAACTAGGCCGTGCTGGCTCCCGTCCCCACCAGGAAGTCAGACGGTCTGGTTCCATCGCTTTCTGGCAGAACCCAGTTCCCCACCTGAGAGGTAGGAATGATGTCCGTTGAACTCTCACTTCATTGAGTTATGGGGTGAATTACAGCAGATCGTGGAGGTACCAGATATTGATGTGATGCTAATTATAATAATAATAGCTCAGAAGAAAGTTCACGTTCCCAGCCTGCACTTGAAGAGCCTCTGAATTCTGGCAACACCCTCCTTGCCTATCAGCAGGGACGCTGGGTCTCACCGGTTCTTTGAACTCTATGGCTCTTTCCTTCCCGGGCTTGTCAGCATCCCACTTCTTAGCACTGTCACACACCAAGTTGACTGCTTTTATTTTTTATTTATTTTTTGTTGTTGTTGTTTTTGTTGCTTTTGGGGGGGGTTGTTGTTGTTGTTTTTTGAGTTGGAGTCTCACTCTGTCGCCCAGACTGGAGTGCAGTGGCCGCTCCCAGCCACCGCCGCCTCGACCTGCTGGGCTCTAGTGATCCTTCTGCCTCAGCCTTTCAAGTAGCCGGAATTCCAGGTGCGCGCTACCACGCCCGGCTGATTTTTTTGATTTATTGTAGAGATGAGGTCTCGCTGCCCAGGTGGGTCTCGAACCCGCGGGCTCAGGCCATCCACTCGCCTCAGCCTCCCAAAGGCGCGGGATGACAGGCTGAGCCACCGAGCCCGGCTAGTTTTTAAATCAAAGTGCTTCTGCCTTTGTGCCTCCAGGGAGCTGCCCACTCTCAGAGGACACTGGGCTGTGAATGTCATTTCATGTTTCCTTAGCACTTCGCACAGTTCACAGTAGGCATCCCACACACGTGGAATAAATGAGTTATGTTTTAAATGTTCCTGACATATTCACCCATCACATCTGTCCCAAGAGTAGTCGGATAGTTCAGATTTGCTAACTACTATTAAAAAAAAAAAAAGCCAGGCATAGTGGCTCAAGCCTGTAATCTCAGCAATTTGGGAGGCCAAGGTGAGAGGATTGCCTGAGTCCAGGGGTTTGAGACCAGTTTGGGCAACTCAGTGAGACCTCGTCTCTACAATCAATCAATCAGTCAATCAATCAATAAGCTGGGCGTGGAGGTGCACACCTGTAGTTTCAGCTACTTGGAAGGCTGAAGCAGAAAAATGATCGCCTGAACCCAGCAGGTCGAGGCTGCGGTGACCGTGAGCATGGCACTGCCCTCCAGCCTGGGCAACAGAGTGAAACTCTGACACAAAAAAAAAAAAAAAAAAAGAAAGAAAGAAAATAAAAACAAAAAACAACAACAACAAAACAAAGCATACTTTTCTGGGGAGCAAGTAAAAAAAGATAAGGAAAACTTAAAGCATTGAGAAGTTGAGGAATAAGGTCAGTGGCCCTTAATCCTGGAGGAGAAAAGAACCAGTTACTCAGTGACAGGAGGCCTGAGACTTAGGCAACAAATCAGCTAAGAAGTTTGGGGATACGAGCCCTGAATCCTGTGTTCGGGTCCTAGCTCTGTCTCTTATTAGCTGGATTCCTTGGACTTAGGTACAAGTCTAGTAAGTCCAGTTTCAGCGGCCTAAGAAGGAGATTCTTCCCTTACTGACTCACGATCGTGGGGCAAGAATCAGATGTCATCTGTGGAAACCAGAATACAAATTTGTATTTACATGGAAGAGGTCAGAGCCCTAAGAATGCTTTGCTTGTAAGTTTCTCTAACAGTTCCCAATAACACCTGAAGAGGGCACTATAACCCAGGAGTGGGTTAGGCAGAGGGAAAATTCTCTTTTTCTTTTTTTTGAGTCGGAGTCTCACTCTGTCGCCCAGACTGGAGTGCCGTGGCCACTCCCGGCACCGCAGCCTCGACCCGCTGGGCTCCGGCGATCCTTCCGCCTCAGCCTTCCGAGTAGCTGAACTACAGGCGCGCGCTACCACGCCAACTAATATTTTGATTTAATGTAGAGATGAGGTTTCGCCAAGTTGCCCAGGTGGGTCTCGAAGAAAATTCTCTTTTGGGTCCTACCCTTTGCAGACTCTTGCCACCAAACTTGCTGCCCCTCCCACCACCACCTGGTAAAAACCCTCCAGCCCCACCCCACCTGTCCATAAGTTTCCATGTCGCAGATTGCAAAACATTCTCTCCCTTTTGCATATGTGCAGGAGCACAGGCTGATATCACTGTGCTTGGTGATATAAACAGAAATAGAAAGACTGGCCCCTACATATGGATAATAGCCGGGATTGGGTCCCGTCCAGTTTGGTGACATCTTTTGTTGTCTGACAGGCTCTCTCCTGTGTGGTCCTTTTTAGCGGAAGCATGATCTCTGGGAAGGAATCTGAAGTGGTTATCAAAGGGGAAAATTAGGAGAAATCAGGCCAGGCTTGGTGGCTCAGCCTGTAATCCCAGCACTTTGGGAGGCCGAGGTGAGTGGATTGCCTGAGCCCATGGGTTCCGACCCACCTGGGCAACTTGGCAAGACCTCATCTCTACAATAAATCAAAAACTAGCCGGGGGTGGTAGCGCATGCCTGTAGTTCCAGCTACTGGGAAGGCCGAGGCGGAAGGATCGCCGGAGCCCAGCAGGTCGAGGCTGCGCTGGCCGGGAGCGGCCACTGCACTCCAGTTTGGGCGACAGAGTGAGACTCCAACTCAAAAAAAAAAAAAGAAGTAGAAGTCAAGGATGGCGGCTAAGCCTATTTGTTCTGCATTTCCCACCCCAGGGGCGTAAGGGAACCCGGAGAAACTAGGTGGAAGGAATTGGCAGATGAGAGGAGGGGTGAGCGGGGGCACTTGGGGATGCCTGTGTTCTTGGCCTTGGGCAAGTTACTTTGCCTCTTCTTGGGTGCAGTGGCCATGACAGCAGTGACTTTCTCACCGAGATGTGTGAGGAGTATGCGCTCACGTCAGTGAGCCACCCAGAGTGGCACCTGTCCCAGATCAAGTGCTTTCTGTAGAGGTGGCCACACCTGTCTACTGCCCCTTGTGTGAGCTTTTTTGGGGGGAGAGGACTTCATGGCGACAGTCCCCAGACGAGGAAAGAGGGCAGCTGGACCTAGCGGGGGTGTGCGTTGAGGTGGGAGGATGACACCGGGAATGTGGAGGCAGCCAAAGGGGCCCCCGAGAAGGGGTGGGAGAGACCCACGCTCCAGGAGTCGGGTCGGCAGCTGCTCTCAAAGGGGCTCTCCTCCTGGCTCCCGTTTCCTCGACGGCAGCCTCAGAGCCCCGGAGCCTTGTCGGGGCGGGCTGGCAGCTGCCTACTCTGGAAGGGCCTTGAATGGGGCCACCTTATTGACGAGCGTGGGCAGAGCTGGCGGGCTCAGGCCCGGCGGGGTCAAGAGGTCAGACAGGCTGTGTGAGGCGGCACGTAGGGCCCAACCCCCTCCACCTCTGGTTTCCCAGACCTGCCGCTCTGCTGCCAGGATGGGGTCAGAGCCAGGAAGCGGGAGGCTCCTGGGGAAACAGAAACGCCAAGAGCCTTGTTGGTGGTTTTAGTTCTTACCAAGGAGATTGAAAATACACAGAACTTGGACTCCATGAGAGCCAGAGGCCAGCCCCCACCCCATCTTCACGGCTCCCCCACCCCATCGTCCAGTGGGCTCTTGCTGTCATGGGAGTCCCCATGAGACCCGGAGAGCTCACAGCTCGCTGCCTAAATTCTCCGGGTCATCCTGCTCCTGACGGTAAGAGGTATTTGGCTCCAAAGCGTGTCCTGGTGTCGCATTCTGCAAGGGCACCAAGTGAGTTGAGGTGTCTCCCCAGCATGGCTCTGTCCCTGAGTTTAAAGCTGCGCTCTGGATTCTTCCTGCTCCGGGGTCTCAGGCTGGGTTTCCGGCTGGCCCCGTGACATCCTTAGATCTTAGAGTTGAGCCCTGGACAGTTCCTCTGGCCCCCGAGATGTCGCCGCTGGCACTGGAGTGTCCATGGGACAGGCTGGTGCTGAGCTGATCGCCCCTGGACAGGGGTCGGGAGTGGCGGGGGAAGGCGTGGCACAGGCAATGGTGGTGAGCGAGGTGGTGGTCGTGCCAGGTGGGGGCACCTGGTCACCTGTCCCCTCTCCTGCAGGCCTCCCCCGTGTACAGCTTCAGTTTTCCCCGGAGGAAATTGGAGTAGACTCGGAAAAGCTTGCACAAAGTGTCAGCAGTGAAGGTTCGGAGTGGAGCAGCCGAGGCCGCGTCTGGAGGGGAGAGGGCTTCCTTCTGCGAGGAGAAAACAGGAGGTTTCCACCGTGCCCAGGCCCCCGGGGCCACGGCAAGAGGGACGGAGCAAGGGGGATGAGGAGAGCCACAGGCGTCCTGGGCGACGCCCTCCACATCTGACAGCAGGGGCAAACGGAAGGAAGGGCCCACGCCGGCTCACCTGGGCTCCCAGCGCCCGAAGCAGGGAGGTGAGGCTGCGTAGGCTGCTGACAGCCCTGTCCATGTGTAGCTGCAGGGTCTCCGGCGGCTGGGAGCAGTTGGCCAACAGGGCCTGGCCCCGCAGGACGGCTTCTGAGAGCAGGGCCAGGCCCTGCCGGACTTCTACAGCCTGCTGCCTGGCCTGGAGGGAGCGGAGACTTGGCGTCAGCTAGCCCCAGCCACCGCCTCGCTCCTCCTCCTCAGCAGCTCCACGCACCAAACTGAGCAAACAGAAGGCTTGCGGTACCGTTTGCTGAATGAATACGTGAGTAAGTGAATAAATGAATGAACATATCCCACACGGCACTGGTCTCTGCTGCTCCATTTCTTCCCTCATTCTATCCATCTTCCTTCCACCCTTTCAGGCGCCCCGATGAGACTCCCGGGAAGAAAGGGGAAAACGAGCCCACCTCCATCCTCTTCCAGGTGTAGAAGTTAACTTTGGTGTCTGGGACCGTGATGTTCTCGTTCAAGCTGCAGCCTTCGGCACAGCCCATCTGAAAAGCACAGCCTGGGGGTTAGGGCCCCGGGGCCGTGGGATAGACACTCTGGCTGTGCCCCTGGCCTGGCCCTCAGACATGCCACTAGAGCCAGATAGGGCCACGAGCTCTGTCATCCTTGGGGGTGGGGGTGGGGGGAATCGCCGCTGGCACTGGAGTGTCCGTGGGACAGGCTGGTGCTGAGCTGATCGCCCCTGGACAGGGGTCGGGAGGGGCGGGGGAAGGCGTGGCACAGGCCATGGTGGTGAGCGAGGTGGTGGCCGTGCCAGGTGGGGGCACCTGGTCACCGGGCCCCTCTCCTGCGGGCCTCCCCCGTGCACAGCCTCAGCTTTCCCGGAGGAAACTGGAGTAGACTCGGAAAAGCTCGCACAAAGTGTCGGCAGTGAACTCCCCACCCCACCCTGCTCCGAGTGCCAGGGGGAGCCCAGGTTCCCGGATCTCGGAGGAGACCCCTGGAGCCTTGAGAGTGAGTCCTGTGGCTGTGCTGGGGAGGAGGCCTCACCGTGACATTCTCCGCCTCCTTGGCCTCCAGGATGTACCTCTCCAGGACTCGGCTGTCACAGACGAGGGGTGGGGGCGCGCCCAGGACTGGGAGACCCAGAGGGAGCAGCAGCAAGGGCAGCAGAAGCAGCCGGGCGGGACGTTCTGGAAGAGAAGCAGGCTGAGCACGAGGCGGGAGGGCGGAGGAGGCCGGCTGGGTCGGGCAGCTCCGCTCGCCGGCGCCCCGGCCCCCGGCTCGCGCGGCCGGCCCCGCCCGGCGCGAGCTCGGGGCTGCCTCCTCGCCTTCCTCCGGCCAAGCGCACTCCGGCCCGACGGAGACGGCGCCTCTCCCAGGCCCGGGGGTCGCCTCCAGCCCCGGGTCGGCTGGTC